TATTTGCATGTAAATAATGTTTAGTGCATGCTGGCAGTGTTTGCTGTCTGTACACCCAATACTCCCTGATATGTTATCACACTTAATGAATACTTTTTACCCTTTATATCATGTCAACACACATTGCGACAACATACAGTGTGCAGAAACTTATAGTAACTGAAGCTCTTCCATTAACTATGAAAGCCAAAGATCTCATAAGTGCTTTTAAACCAAAATTATGGAATAAAGACAGAGTAAAATCAAACCCAGACATCCAAATTCTGCTCTTGGTTACACCTTTGTAGATCCAGAATAACTCTATCAACTTTAATCAACTGCATTTACACCAGTGATACAGAAAGCAAAATGTACAGTCCACATTTTGGGTGGAAAGTTGCATGTGTGTTTTATTGTCAACCAAGATGAGAATGGTGTATGTGTCAGAACACAACACCCAGGAGGTGTGTGGGTTACACATGGCTATGTACAAAATGATAGAAAATGTTTTAAATGCTTTTGTCTAATCTCCACATTTCCCCTAAAGCAGTCTGTTTTCTATAATGAGTTCTAGGGCTGCGTCCTCACTGGATTTTCTGGAGCAGCCACTTCACTATCCAAGAATCAGGGAACAAAGTTAAGTCTTTCAAAAGCAACATTGCCTGCATTCAATATAAAGCAGCAGCAGGTTTTACTTTCATCCACCCCTCAGGAGGGAGACAGGTTTTCATTCTTTGATCAGCCACTATAGTTCAGAGCAGAGCACGACATGCTATATCAGCCAGCTTTCATGCTCAGATCCAGAGGAAATCAGGTCTAAGTTCCAGGCTTTCATTGCAATTCTGAACTTTGCTCTTTCTCTTGCTTTCTTCCTCCCCTCTCCTTTGGCTTTTTGCTCTCACTGTTTGCCCTCACTTTACAACATGCCTTATTCAAGTCTGAGACTATGTCTACACTACAGAATTAGGTCGGATTTATAGAAGCCGGTTTTATAGAAACCGGTTGTATGCAGCCGATTGTGTGTGTCCCCACCTAAAATGCTCTAAGTGCATGAAGTCGGCGGACCGCGTCCACAGTACCGAGGCTAGCGTCGACTTCCGGCGCATTGCACTATGGTACCTATCCCACAGTTCCCGGAGCCTCCGGCGCCCATTGGAATTATGGGTTGAGATCGCAATGCCCGGATGATGCAAAGCAGTGCCGCGAGGGGTTCTGGGTACATTGCGTCAGGCCCCTCCCCCGCCGTCACAGCAACGGCAGACAATAGATTCGCGCCTTTTTACCTGGGTTACCTGTGCAGACAACATACCACGCCAAGCATTGAGCCCGCTCAGCTCAGCTCACCGTCACCATATCTCTTCCGGGTGCCGGCAAACGTGGGACTGCATTGCTAAACAGCAGCAGCAGCTTACTGCCTTTTGGCGGTAGACGGTGCAGCATGACTGGTAGCCTTCATTGGCGATCTGGGTGCTGGCAGCTGTGGGGCTGGCAGCCGTAGGGCTGCATTGCACCAGCCCCTTGCCTTTTGGTAGAAGATGGTATATTACAACTGGTAACCGTCGTCATCGTACTGCAGTGGCTGTCGATCATGGGCACCCGGGCAGACAATGATGGTTATCAGTCGTAGTATGCTATTTTCTGCCAAGTGCCCAATATTGTCTGCTAAGCACCCAGAAGAGGCCGAGGGCTATCTGGGTGCTGGCAGACATGGGGCTGGCAGCCGTGGGGCTGCATTGCACCAGCCCCCTTGCCTTGATGATGATGGTTATCAGATGTATTATTCGCAGGATGGGGCAACATTGCTATACAGCAGCAACCCCTTGCCTTTTGGGCAGAAGATAGTATATTACGACTGGTATCCATCGTTGTCATACTGCAGTGGGCATCAGATCGTGCAATAGACCTGAAGGCTTACTGCCAAGCGCCCAGTATTTGCTGCCAAGCACCCAGAAAATGCCAAGGGCTATCAGTCATGCTGCACCGTCGTCTTAAGATGTAAAAAATAGATTTATTCTCCATTCATTTGCTTCCCCCCTCCCTCCTGCTAAACCCAGGCTTTTGAGTTCAATCTTTGGGGGGGGGGGCATTCTGTGTGACAGTTGTTTGTGTTTCTCCCTGATGCAAACCCACCTTTCTTGATTTTAATTCCCTGTACCTGTACGCGGTGTCACTCGCCCCTCCCTCCCTCTCTCCCTCCCTCCCTTCTTCCCCTGGTCCGTCAGATACTACTTTCGCGCTTTTTTTCAGACCAGACGCCATAGCCAGCACTGGGATCATGGAGCCCGCTCAGATCACCGCGGCAATTCTGAGCACTATGAACACCACGCGCATTGTCCTGGAAAACATGCAGAGCCTCCTGGACATGCCAAAGCCAAACCAGGACCAGCTGAGGAGGAGGCGATTGCAGCGCGGCGACGATAGTGATGAGGAAATTGACATGGACCTCTCACAAGGCACAGGCCCCAGCAATGTGGAAATCTTGGTGTTACTGGGGCAGGTTCATGCCGTGGACCGCCGATTCTGGGCCCGGGAAACAAGCACAGAGTGGTGGGACCGCATCGTGTTGCAGGTCTGGGACGATGCCCAGTGGCTGCGAAACTTTCGCATGCGTAAGGGCACTTTCATGGAACTTTGTGACTTGCTTTCCCCTGCCCTGAAGCGCCAGAATACCAGGATGAGAGCAGCCCTCACAGTGGAGAAGCGAGTGGCGATAGCCCTGTGGAAGCTTGCAACGCCAGACAGCTACCGGTCAGTCGGGAATCAATTTGGAGTGGGCAAATCTACTGTGGGGGCTGCTGTGATCCAAGTTGCCAGGGCAATGAGAGACCTGGTGATATCAAGGGTAGTGACTCTGGGAAACGTGCAGACCATAGTGGATGGCTTTGCTGCAATGGGATTCCCAAACTGTGGTGGGGCGATAGACGGAACCCATATCCCTATCTTGGCACCGGCGCACCAAGCCACCGACTACATAAACCGCAAGGGGTACTTTTCAATGCTGCTGCAAGCCCTGGTGGATCACAAGGGACGTTTCACCGACATCAACGTGGGCTGGCCGGGAAGAGTACATGATGCTCGCGTCTTCAGGCAGTCTCTTCTGTTTCGAAAGCTGGAGGAAGGGACTTTCTTCCCAGACCAGAAAATAACAGTTGGGGATGTTGAAATGCCTATCGTGATCCTTGGGGACCCAGCCTACCCCTTAATGCCATGGCTCATGAAGCCATACACAGGCAGCCTGGACAGCAGTCAGGACCTGTTCAACTACAGGCTGAGCAAGTGCCGAATGGTGGTGGAATGTGCATTTGGCCGTTTAAAAGCGCGCTGGCGCAGCTTACTGACTCGCTCAGACCTTAACGAAAAGAATCTCCCCATTGTTATTGCTACTTGCTGTGCGCTCCACAATATATGTGAAAGTAAGGGGGAGACATTTATGGCGGGGTGGGAGGTTGAGGCAAATCGCCTGGCCGCTGATTACGCGCAGCCAGACACCAGGGCGGTTAGAGGAGCACAGCAGGGCGCGGTGCGCATCAGAGAAGCGTTGAAAACCAGTTTTGTGACTGGCCAGGCTACGGAGTGAAACTTCTGTTTGTTGCTCCTTGATGAACCCTCTGCCCCTCCCCCACCACCCTGTTAACTCTACTTCCCTGCAAACCAACCACCCCACCCTCCCCTACTACCCTCCCCCCTTCGAGCACCACTTGCAGAGGCAATAAAGTCATTGTTGCTTCACATTCATGCATTCTTTATTAATTCAGCACACAACTAGGGGGATAATTTGAAAGGTAGCCCGGGATGGGTGGGGGAGGAGGGAAGGAAAAGGACACACTCCAATTTAAAACTTTAAAACTTATTGCTATGGAAATCATCTAGGGTGGAGTGAGTGGGTGGCCGAAGGCCCCCCCACCGTGTTCTTGGGCGTCTGGGTGAGGAGGCAATGGGACTTGGGGAGGATGGCTGCTGGTTACAGAGGGGCTGTAGCGGCGGTCTCTGCTCCTGCTGCCTTTCCTGCAGCTCAACCATACGCAGGAGCATATCACTTTGATGCTCCAGCAGCCGGAGCATCGACTCTTGCTTTCTGATTACAAGTTGACGCCACCTCTCCTCTTCAGCCCGCGTTTCAGCACGCAACTTCTCCTCTTCAGCCCGCGATTCAGCACGCCACCTCTCCTCTCGCTCATATTGGGCTTTTTTAAAATCAGTCATTGACTGCCTCCACGCATTCAGCTGTGCTCTGTCAGCGTGGGAGGCAGTCTGAAGTTCAGTAAACATTTCGTCACGCGTCCTTCGCTTCCTTCTTCGAATATTCACTAGCCTCTGCGAAGGAGTAAGATTTGCAGCTGGTGGAGAAGGGAGAGGTTGTTAAAAAAGATACATTTTAGAGAACAATGGGTAGACTCTTTCACGTTAGATTTTGCTGTTCACAACATCACACAGCACATGTGCTTTCGTTACAAGGTCGCATTTTTCCTCTTATATTGAGAGTCTCCTGGTTTGGTGTGAGAGATCACTCACGCAGTGCCAGGACACAGATTTCAGCTTGCAGGCAGCCATGGTAAGACATATAGTCTTTGGGCTTTTTTAACCTTCTTAACATGTGGGGATGGTTTCAAACAGTTCTGCCCTCATTTCCCATACCAAGCACCCGTGCCATTTAAAATGGGTTTGCAATGTAAAAGGAGGGGCTGCGATTTCAGGTTTAACATGCAGCACAAACCCAACTAACTCCCCTCCCCCTCACACCCAATTCTCTGGGATGGTCACTTCAACCCTCCCCCCCACCGCGTGGTTAACAGCGGGGAATATTTCTGTTCAGCAGACCAGGAAGGGGCACCTCTGAATGTCCCCTTAATAAAATTGCCCCATTTTAACCAGGTGACCGTGAATGATATCACTCTCCTGAGGATAACAAAGAGTGATAAGGAATGGATGTTGTCTGCATGCCAGCAAACACCGGGACCATACGCTGCCATGCTTTGTTATGCAATGATTCCAGACTACGTGCTACTGGCCTGGCGTGGTAAAGTGTCCTACCATGGCGGACGGGATAAGGCAGCCCTCCCCAGAAACCTTTTGCAAAGGCTTTGGGATTACATGAAGGAGAGCTTTCTAGAGATGTCCCTGGAGGATTTCCGCTCCATCCCCATACACGTTAACAGACTTTTCCAGTAGCTGTACTGGCCGCGATTGCCAGGGCAAATTAATCATTAATCATTAAACACGCTTGTTTTTAAACCATGTGTAATATTTACAAAGGTACACTCACCAGAGGTCCCCTGTGTGCCCTCAGGGTCTTGGGTCAGTTCGGGGGTTACTGTTTACAGGTCCAGGGTGACAAACATATCCTGGCTGTTGGGGTAACTGGTTTCTCCGCTTCCTTGCTGCTGTGAGCTATCTATGTTCTCTCCATCCTCATCTTCCTCGTCCGCCGAACCCGCTTCCCCGTTTGCAGAGAGGGACTCATAGAACACGCTTGGGCTAGTGGTGGCAGCACCCCCTAGAATGGCATGCAGCTCCGCGTAGTAGCGGCATGTTTGCGGCTCTGCCCCGGACCTTCCGTTTGCGTCTCTGACTTTGTGGTAGGCTTGCCTTAGCTCCTTAATTTTCACGCGGCACTGCCGCGCGTCCCTGTTATGGCCTCTGTCCTTCATGGCCTTGGAGATCTTTTCTAATGTTTTGCCGTTTCTTTTACTGTTTCGGAGTTCGGCGAGCACTGCTTCATCTCCCCAGATGGCGATCAGATCCTGTACCTCCCGTTCGGTCCAGGCTGGAGCTCTTCTGCGATCCTGGGACTGGGACTGGGACTCCATCATGGTTACCTGTGCTGATGGGCTCTGCATGGTCACCTGTGCTCTCCACGCTGAGCAAACAGGAAATGAAATTCAAACGTTCGCGGGGCTTTTCCTGTCTACCTGGCCAGTGCATCTGAGATGAGAGTGCTGTCCAGAGCGGTCACAATGAAGCACTGTGGGATAGCTCCCGGAGGCCAGTAATGTCGAATTCCGTCCACACTAGCCCAATTCCGACCCCCTAAGGTCGATTTTATCGCTAATCCCCTTGTCGAGGTGGTGTTAGGAAACCGGTTTAAAGGGCCCTTTAAGTCGACAGAAAGGGCTTCGTAGTGTAAACGTGTCCAGGCTTAAGTCGATTTAACGCTGCTAAAGTCGACCTAAACTCGTAGTGTAGACCAGGCCTGAGTTAACTTTCTAGATTAATTTCCTATTTAAATGGTCCGTTTTCCCTTCTTTTATCCTCCTGTATAGCAGTCAAACACCACTTGAACTGCCTTTTATGCAGGCAGCTAAATATAGTAAAGATTTTACATTACTATTACCAACAGTTATGCTAAGGTGTTTGAAAGTAGCTTTATTGAAACAGCAGATCAAACTGTTTAAGGTTAAACTAATTTCTTTTTATGCAAGTGTCAGTACTAACCTTCACGTCCTGACCCAGGCCAAGTTCTTCTCCTCCTTAACTGAGAACAGAATTTGTCTCTTCAGGTTCTGAGAGTATGGAGCTCCTCCAAACTCCTCCCCTCAGGGGGAGTCACATGCATACCTCATAGGAAAGAAAAGTTCCTCACTTCCTAAAGAGACCCCCACAAAATTAAAAGTTACACTACCATTTTAAAATGTGGCTGTACCTACTACTGTTATAAAATTACTATGGGTGAGAGAGAAAAATATCTTTCTCTATGCTTTTCAGTTTGTTTATTTGACTGTACACAGAGTGCTGTCAGCTTCCTGGTTACAGTCAGCTTCATGGTTACATAACTACTCAGTATCTCCTGTTGTTTGAGTGGGTCTTTCACACAGCAACAGAGGAAAAACATTCAGAAAAACAGAGAAAATATTAGATTTGGATTGACTATATTTCAGGTTGATGGTGATACTATTTAACAAATTAAACCAATGTGTTCTGCCCCTTATCTGACCTTTCAGCAGTAATTCAGGTTTGTCCTCTCACTGCTGCAATGTACAAGAAAGACACCTAAAATGTGGGACAACTTGGGTCTGATTTTTAAAATCAGATTGCTAGAGCCTGTCATTCACACATGCAGTTATCTGATTTGTGTATGCATTCATGGTAGTTGGACATGAAAAATAGATATGCAATTTCTGCCACAATTGGGCTCCATGTTTTTAATTAATAATGCCTATTTTACAACTTTTAAGATGAGCCAGAGATGAGAAAAAATCAATTTGCCTGGGGTCCTACCCACAGTTTCCATGCAATACAATTTTTTTGGCTTTGTTGCTTGCATTTAAGGTGAAATGGTCGAATCTGGACATCAAACTGGATGGGTAGATAGGTGGTCTAGCTTCTGGCAGATAGAGAACTGAACTGGGACATGGTAAACCAAGCTCCAATTCCCATTTTTGCCACAGACTCTCTGCATGACCTCGGGGAAGTCACTTAATCTCTGCTCTTGTGTCAGGTACTAATACAACTGCCCACAGAAGCAGTTTACACGTACTAGGGCTGTCTACAGTAGGAGTGCTTTGCTGTTGTAAGTATACTGGGATACTATACTGGCTCCTGATGTGCACACAGCTATACTGGCAAAACTGTGCTTTAAAGCTACCCCCACAAGTGAGACAAGATATACTGTAAAAGCACAGTTTTGCCAGTACAACTTTGTCTACACTAAGGACTCCTGCCTGCATGGCTGTATCGATCAGGACTCTCACTTTTTCACACCCCTGACTGACATAGCTATGATGGCAGTGGTTTATGGTCTAGACGTGGCTTCAGAGAGCCACTAATGGATGTCCTCTCCCAGCATATGTACCCAGACAAGGGCACCGGAACTGGGAGGGCCAGGGGACCATGGCCCCCCCACTTTTTACCAAGCTGTAAGGGCGAGTGATGGGGGGAGGGTGTGGAGAGGAGTGAGTGGAGGGGGGCAGGGTCTTGGGGGGTGAAGAGGCAGCACTGGAGCGGGGCTTTGGGGGAAGAGGCGGTGCAGGGGCAGTGCAAGGGCAGGGGAGAGGGGGAGGGGCGGGGCCTTGGGGAGAAGGGGTGGTGCAGGACCAGGGGCTTGAGGGGCAGTGAAGCGTAGGGCCACAGTTTGAGCACCTATGCGCCCCCTCCCCCACTTTTAGGGCACTTCCACCACTCCTGTACCCAGAGCGGTTATGGTGCACATGGAAATAAGGGAGGAGAACCTCAAAAAGTGAATAAAAGTACAGAAAACAGAAAGTGGAAACTGCATGGGTGGGAAATAAGTTGAAGGAAAAGTCAATGGAAGAAATAAGGGAAAGAAAGAAACAGAGAAAACAGAGACATGATAACTGTGCCAGGCTATGGCATTAGGGGAATAGGGAGAGAGAGAAACTTTTTATTTCATCGCAAAGGGCAGCACCCCCTGCTGTATAGATTTGACACTACAGTCAGCAGAAATCTTCAGTAATTCCGTTCCCATTTCCTCTTTGTAGTTATTAACTATTTTAACTAACACTTGACTCAATGGCAGTCTCTGAGACAGGCCCCAGTTATCTTCTCTGCACCTTGGGAGCAGCTGCTCACTATTCCTCTTTGATTCCTCCTGTTTAGTCATTTTTCATTCTAAAACAAGACTTTGCCATCTGCTCTGTAGTTATTTATGTTCCATCACAGCCTAGTATGAGAGAACTTGCAAAGTTTTACAAATAGCCAAATATGCAATGTCCACCAGGTCACCGTTATCTATTAGTTTACTAATGTTTTCCACAAATCTCTACAGCAGAGAAAGAAACAAGTTTTTCTTATCTAATGTGAATTAAGGTGTAGATCCTCAGATACCCATAGAGGGCTGGTATGAGGCCCATGTTCCACTTAAGTGCTCAGACGAAGGGCAAAACTTGGATTTAAGTGGTGCATAGCCTTGTTCTAGCCTTCTTGACCAGGGCAAATTTCATCCACAATGCACAGAACAAGTGTCCGTAACTGGAGAGCAAAGTTGGCATGTAAAGTTCCCACTTGAGCTCTTCTGTGTATACTCTTTTACCATGTGCTGTGTGCTAGGATAGCCCAAGGACTTCTCTAAGTTATGCTTGCCTGTGATGGTTACAAAGCACCAAGCAAATTGCACTGGATCAAAACATCCAGTTCCACCTGACCACACCCCTTTGGTATCTCTGAGGAGGTGATGAAGCCCATACTAGGGTTGCCAGGTGCCCAGTTTTTGACTGGAATGCCTGGTCGAAAAGGGACCCTGGCCGCTCCGGTCAGCACCAATGACTGGGCCATTAAAAGACCTGTTGGCAATGCAGCAGGGCTAAGGCAGGCTCCCTGCCTGCCATGGCTCCGTGCGGCTCCTGGAAGAAGCGGCATGTCCCTCCCGAGGCTCCTACATGTAGGGACAGCCAGGAGGCTCTGTGCACTGCCCCCACCCCAAGCGCCAGCTCCACAGCTCCCATTGGCCGGAAACCACACACACACCCCGCACCCCAATCCCCACCCCCTGACACAGCCCGGTGAAAATGTGTGAGTCAGTGAGTGAGGGTGGGGAGAGCGAGCGACAGAGGGATGGGGGGCGGATGGAGTGAGCGGGGCTTCAGAGAAGGGGTGGGGCCTTGGAGGAAGGGCGGGGGAGCAAGGGTGTTTGGTTTTGTGTGAGTAGAAAGTTGGCAACCCTAGCCCATACACCAGCTGTATGTAACTGCAGAATCAAACTTGGGTGGGGTGATCCTACCTGGGCCACTTAGCAAATCTGTGTGTCCAAAATAGAACACAGATGCAGCACAGAGGGCTCAATATACCCAGTGATCTGGCCCAAAAATCTGTAACATTTAAAAAAACAATTACAAATTAGTATAATCTACTTGTTAATTTATAAATTCAAAGGGAGTGTCGCATCTGCAGCTTCCCAATCTCCAGTCCTTACTGATGTAAATAGTTCCATTGACTTCAGGGGGACATTTAGGTGATAAGGGCTACAGGATCAAGCCCTCAATGACCTACTGGAAAGAAACACTCTCTAATCTAAGTGACAGGATGACCTCTATAATATAGAGGTTTGATTTATATATATATAAATCAATATTTAAATATATACTTTGATTTATTTATATACTTTGATTTATTTACAAAAGAGTAAATACAGCCTCTGTTTATTTTATGACGTATGGTACAGTACTTTTAAAGTCTCTAACATAACATGGAATATCAACTATATATATTGTTACAATGACAGCTGGTAAAAATTTCCCAAATTGCAAGCTTGATTATATTTTTTGATGGAGAAAAAAAAATTGATGAAAAAGTTAAAACCAGTTATAGAGTTGGTCAAAAAATATTGACACTCAAAAAACTCACAACATTTTGATATGTTTATATTTCTGAAAAAACAGATACAATTTTTTCACAGATTTCCTGTGATTTTTTTGTTATTGTTTTTTAAGTCAGCTCTGCCTAAAACTCAAGATAAACAGATTTATTGACAAGTCCATTTCCTCTGTTACATCTCAATTCAACTCCCACTGAAGTTGAAAAGGCTTTTGACAGATAGGCCTCCTAGCAAGTGCATATTTCAACATTGCTATATCTTCACACACACAAAATGTTTCCCCCTTTCTTTAAACCAACTTTTATCTAAATCTGTCATCATAAAGAAGTTACACAGAAACAAGAAGTATGAGGAAACATTATTTATTGGAATCTGCATGCACTCTCCCATTTTTAAGATATTGCTTATTTACTGAGTTGTAATTTTGTTCAAAATGCTTTCTACAGTATGTTGTTTCAAACAGTATTTGTGGATCATATTCTATTCATGGATTTACCTTTCTGACATGTTCACATAACAGTCTAAAAAAAATATTATGATTTACATTCACATGATCCTTGTATCAGTTAATATGGTATTTTTATTGTATGTTCAGCACTGTACAAAATGAAAATGACAGTCCCTCCCAGAGAAGCTTAGAACAGTAAGAGGAACTGACTAACCACACTAAAGGGAACCCAGCTATTATTTCCTGTTGAAAACTCTGTTTGCAGTCACTACAAGTTTTTCATCAGGGGGAGGCTTCCTCTGGCTGCCAGGCTGTAGGAACTTCTTTATTGTGGGGATGTTGCTTATTCTTGCTTTAAAAACCTAAAGTGAGAAAGGGAAGTTTTTCATTGATGGTTTTTGCCAAAAACAAACTAACACAAGTGTCTGAAATAGGCCTGATCTGATATTGATCCCAATCAGAGAGCCTCAGAATGAGACATCAGCTGGCTTGCAAACTGCAGCCTTTTCTTCTTCCCATTCGTTTGGAGGTTCATGAGAAGCCAGCTTTCTAGGAGAATATGATAAGAAGATAAGAATGGCCATACTGGGTCAGACCAAATGTCCATCTAGCCCAGTATCCTGTCCTCTGACAGTGGCCAGTGCCAGGTGCCCCAGAGGGAATGAATAGAACAGGTAATCATCAAGTGATCCATCCCCTGTCGCTCATTCCCAGCTTCTGGCAAACAGAGGTTAGGGACACCATTCCTGCCCATGTTTGTTTTGTTGAGTGTATTTCTTGGTTCTCAACAGTGTCAGTTTTCAG